TTCGGCCCGAGTATTCGAGGGGTCGGGTATTCGGCCAGGTCGGCCCCCATACGGTATAATTTGATTGGTAACTTTTTTCATTTCTCTCTTAGTGCTAAAATTTACTTCATATACACTAAAAAAAAGGTAAAAAAAAAATGTTTACGTGTTTTGCATGTGGATATTTATGGTTATTACATGTTATTTGGCGCTATTTAAAATTTGAATCGTTCATGTAATTTCCTTTACTATTGTTTCCAAGTTGAAACTTCCATAAAATAATTCCCCTTTTTAAGTGCAGGAGGGAGAAATCATGTTATGGCATTCAAATTAATCATAGTTTATAAACTGTAATAATATATAAATCTTTTCACACATAACTACGCCATACTTCCTAATCATATGTGCCTGTTCCTTTCAAAACATTCACTTCCAAAATCATTAAACTGTAAAAGTAAAGCTACTTTCTCAAGTTTTGGCCAAGTGTTTTCGTTGATGCTAATTGCTTTAAATATTGTCACAATAATGAAAATATTCAAATTTAAAGTAACAATTAATACTTAAATGATTCTTACAGTTATATTTTATAAGCGCACGATCGAACCGCTGTAAAAAATAAATAAAAAAATGCACGATCGAGCATGGGTAACACTACTTATTATATACAATATTTAAATTCACAGTTATCTAAAATTACTAATTTTTAATTAAATTTGAATTTCCTGAAAAAAAAAATTACTAACGATAGAAAACTTAGATATGATATAAAGATCACCAAATAATATCAACTTACCTCAAGTTGTGCATATATCTAGAGGGTAGAAGTATATATTATTGAAGGTAAAAGAGTTTTCAAAAAAAAAAAAAATAGAAAATATGTGGGAATAGGTTGTGAATATTGACTTTGAATTGCGTTATTAATAGATATTTAATTTCTCATATTTCATTGTCTAATTTTTATCTTATATCACTTTCATTGTTAAAAGAAAACTTTTATTCTCATTTTTTCTCTCGTTATTTTCTTACACATATTTTAAGATTTAATAGCTTGTTTTATATGAGAAAATTGAGAAATATTGTACTTTTTTTTTGTGAAGTTGAGTTTTAAGCATGTTTTAGTGTTGCAAGAGATTGATGAATTAAGAATGAGAAGATAAAATTTGTAGTAAAAAAGATATAAAAATAACTTTTTTTTATTATTATTATTTGTGATTTATTGTGTTAAACATGAATTATAATTATTTATTAATGTAAAATAATTAATTTTGTAGAAATGAAGAAAAAAGAATTTGTTAATTTTGATTCAAATGTGTTGATATATTTCACTAGAAAAAATGAGCCTTTTTGTGCTAGAACAAATAGATATCATTAGTGTCGGAATGCTTAATTTATTTATAGAAAAATTGCATATGGCTAAAAAGATTTGAGGTATTTTTAATCACTTTCATATTTATTTATTTTTTGTTATTGTTTTTCTATATTTTATTTTTCTCCTCATTTAAATCGTATTTTTTTAATTTGATTTTTTTTAATATTTACTTATTGACAAAATTAAATAAAGATTGGTTTTTTTAGTAACTAAAATTCAATCATTTTTGTATAAAATTATAATTTCAATAATTATTGAAATTATTAATATTAATAAGTATGAAAAATTATATAATATCATTACAATTAGTATTAAATAACTAATAATTCGAAGTCATAATTAATTAGTAATTGCATATAATAATTAATATATTAAACAACATTCAAGATATTGAATTTGTTTAAAAAATCAATTATAAAAATTGCAAATTTTGCATAATTATTATTAATTTTAAGAAGAAAAAAATATTTTTTTTATTAATGTGTGAATATTTTATATTTTATTTCATATTTAATAAATATTTGATTTATATTTTAATAAATATTGGCATTTTATGCGATTAACGTTACATTAAATTAATTTAAATATGTATATTTTTTTATTAAAAATATAGAAACTAATATTCAAACATAATTAATTTATGTTAAGTTATTTTTTCTCCAATATTAATGTTATCTTTTTTCGGTTCGTCAACTTCTACGTACAAAACATAAATACTTATTCTCACAATTATAATTTGTTTTAAATCTCATTAAAAGATATATTAATATTATTTATTTTAAATTTGAAATATAAATTATAATTAATAGACACTCCAATAATAATTTAAGAGTATATAAGATAAATTAAAAAAATCATTTGTAATAATAAAATATGAGAATAATCAAATTATTCTATTTTATCGTCTTTTTATTTAATGGAGTTTGAACTTGTGGTATAATAAACATAAATATTTAAAAATTTTAATATCAAATTAATCTTTTTCTTAGTGAAAAATAATATATTAAAAAATATTTATTTATGAAATATAATTTTATGATTTAATAATTTTTTTCATCAATTATATTTAAGTTTTTATATTTATATTGTAATCAATAATTAATGTAATACATTAATTTATATTATTATTAATGATTATGCTAAATATTTATAATTTTTAAAAATATATATGCATCATTTATTTTATATATAATATATAATATAAATAAAGTAAATACAATAATTTTCAAATTTTAAATATATCCTTCCTATATTGTATTGATCACTATATTAATAAATGTATAATTTAACTTTTACAATAACATATATATGTATTTTTTTTTGTCTATTAAATATTCTTAAGCAATTAAATATTTCATATCTAAAATTATTTAATAAATTGAAATACATTAAATTTGAGTAAAAAAAAATGAAATGCTAAGATATTCATCGCAAATACTACACTATATAACGTCCAATTTACATGTATATAACGTCCAATTTAACTGGATATATATATATATATATATATTTTTTTTTTTTTCCATATAATTATTTATTTTTAAATTGTTATCAATTTATTAGTATTATTATTTTTTAATAAGCTTACCTAGACATCAAAATGATATTTTTTATTATTACGGATGACATGTCAAACAATGAAGAATAAAACTAAGATTTCGTGTTACAATCTAAGAATTAACAAATATTGACAAAATATATATATGAATAATTTTTTATGTGATTTCATAATACAATCTTTATTATCAAAGATTCAGTGTAAAGATATTATTATTATTATTATTATTATTATTAACATATATTAGTTATAATTGAATAAAAAAAATTAAACTCATTATAATATACATTAATTTGTACATGTTATATAATTAACTTTTTCTATAATTATAAAATAGAGATAATAATTTTAAAATATAAAAAACACTTTAAAACATAAAACTAATTTATTTTTTAATATATTTATTATTATACAAAATATTATTTAAATCAAATACTCGTATATCGTAAGTATATACATACTAGTTATACACAGATTATTAATATAAACCACTCACCAATCAAAATAATTATTATTTTCATGCAACTCATGTCATTATATAATCTTTTAGTTAGAGACATTATTAACACCAGTCTTTTAAACAGTTAGAGTGTGTTTGGATGAAAAATTTAAATGGAGTAATTCATTTATTTAAAGAATTTCAAATTTTTTGAGGTGAAATACTTTGTTTGGATGAAAAATTTACGAAGAATTTGAAATCCAAGCATTTGTGAAATTTTTTGAAATAGTAGAATTTCAAATTCTCCCAAAAAAATAAGAATTTGAAATTCCTCATATTTTTTTTCCTTATTTCACTTATATATTTTATCTTATCGCTTCATATTTTTAATTATTGAATATTGAAAAATACTTTTAAAAATTATTAAATATTATCTAATATTAATTTTTAAAATTATGAAATATTTAAAAATTAGTTAATATTTATTTTTATTAAATTTTATTTAAAGATCTCAACATATAAATATATTTTTAAAATCAATTTTACCATGGTAGAATCAAATTATTATATCCAAATTAACAATTTAAAATTTTAAAAAAATTGAATTGACTTATCCAAACAAAATATTTTAAGAATGATAGACATTAAAATCAAAGTAATTCAAATACCAAGAATTTCAAATTCTTTGAATTTGTAAAATTTCTCATCCAAACACACCATTAACCTATAACAAAAAAGTAGTGTTTGCAAACCAGAGTTCACATACTACGACATAATAGTGGTGGTGACAGTAAATTACTACTTACTTTACAACTCGCAAAATTAATTTATAACTGTTTGATATAAATGAATGATACGAGTTTTTATAGTTTTAAGAAATAATTTAATTTCTATGTACAAAAATAATGAGAAGAGTTCAAATGACACTGATATAACTTTTATTAAGTATTATACTGTTTAATAACTTTATATTAAATGTGAATTTTTTAAATCCAACTGTTAGATTGAAAGTTTATATCACTTTATATGTGTATATCAAATTTTATTAAAATTGAACAACAATTTGAAGATAATCAAAATGTTCATATTTTATTATATTTTGAAAAATATATATTACGTTATTTTTATTTTTTTATTTATATAAAAATGAAGTATTAAATCATGTTAAATTAATATAAAATTTTAAATATATAATCTAAGAGTAAAAAACTTTCAATCTAACGATTGAATTTATAAAATTTATATTTAATATGAAATTATTTAGTGGTATAATACTTAATAAAAATTACACTAGTGTCGTTTGAACCCTTATCCAAAAATAATAGTGGTAGTCCAGAAAAATTTTACTATATATGCATGCATCAATTATTCATTTATTTTTAAGTTTTTAGACATGATAAATGTAATGTATCAAGAAGAACAATCAAAAACTAATTTATAGGAAAGTATCAAATTAACTTAAGACAGTTGTTATAATATGTGACTATTTGATTTGATTTGATTTTCATAGAAACACAGAAAGCATAAGAAATGATTTCCATTTCCATTTTCCACGGTGTGATTTAATCTTTGAATTTTACCGCGCATGAATAAAAGGGCAAATATGGGAGTTTGGAAAGGACAGAACACCAAAAATCAGCATTATAAAAGGTGGAAGGAACAACAAAGTCAGACGACCGAACACAACAACACAAGCACAAACACGAACATCTGAAATCTCAACCGCATCAAACAAGTCCATCAAATCCGCCAAAAACATCACCATAAAATAAGTACTAAGCTACTCAAACTCACTTCCTTGACCCACTCTTGTCTCTCTCCCACTCTCACTATCTGTCTTTCCCAACGCCCCTTCATTTTCACTTCCTCTTTCTCCTCACTTCAACACAGATTCCTCCCTCACCTTCTAATTCAGTTACCTTATTTGTTTTCCCAAGGTATTTGTCTTGTTGCTTTACTTATTTTTGCATATTGTCAAAGATTTCAGTTTTATGCATATTGTATTACTGGCTAGTTAGATCTGATTTTGTGCAGCCTTGGAAAATCTGAAAATCTCCATGCCGACCCAGTAACGTTTTTGCACGGAATGAAGCTAATGGGGAAATGGGGTTCTCTTTGGCAGGGATTTAAGGTTGAGGGGTCGTGAAAGGTTGGATTTTTAGGGGTGGTGGGGTTGTTTTGCATGTGGGAATGGAAGCGAGGATGAAGAAGTACAACCGGCAAGTGAGTCCTGAGAGGGCCAAAGTGTGGACTGAGAAGTCCCCAAAATACCACCAGAGTCTGAAGGTTCCCGTGATTTACTATCTTTGTCGAAATAGGCAGCTAGAGCACCCTCATTTCATGGAGGTCCCACTTTCTTCACCGGATGGGTTATACTTGAGAGGTACAATAATGTGGTTGTTGTTGCCCTTGAAGCTGTTTTTATTATTTGTGGATTGTGGATTTTGAGGGATTGTTTTGTGTGCAGATGTCATTGATAGACTGAATGTGTTGAGAGGTAGAGGCATGGCTTCCTTGTATTCATGGTCTTGCAAGAGGTGAGTAAGTTGTTGCATTTTCTATGTTCTTGTGTTCAATTTGTATGTGGGGAAAGAGAAAAAAATAGAGAGAGGGGAAAAGAAAAAAAAAATTGAGACTTGGTTGGTTTTGTGCCTCTATCATTTTGGAAAAGTCAAGGAAGCATAAAATTTACAATTTAAGATAAAGCAACCAAGATTGTTTAGTTTTTGGTTATTTTTCCTAGGACTACATTTTGTGCTTAGTTTTTACCATAGGTGTTTGTTCTTCTTGTAATTCAGGAGCTACAAGAATGGATTTGTGTGGCATGATCTATGTGAAGATGACATAATTCTACCAGCTCATGGAAATGAATACGTTCTCAAAGGTTCTGAGTTATTTGATGAATCAAATTCAGGTAAATATTTTGTTCGGATAAAAATTTGTTAGGTCCTACATGATATAAAATGCTTAAGACTAAGACCTTAGTCTTGGTGGATTTTGCTTTTCAGAACGTTTCAGTCCCGTTAGCAATATTAAAATACAAAGCGTGAAGCTGTTGCCGGGGCCAATTTCTTCTAGGAGCCATGATGAAGCCTCCTCCTCTTCTAGCTTGAATGGGAAAGAGACAAGAATCTCCCAAGACGATGAGCTTTCCCAAGAAGAACCGCATACTGGTTCCTCCGATGTTTCTCCAGAGTCTAGAGACAAAAAGAGTGATTCGCTAAGCTTGGCATTGACAGAGTACAAAATTTATAAAACTGATGGATTGGCCGATGCTTCGACTCAGACAGAAGAAAATGGCCGTAGATCCAGATCTCAGAAAACTTGTACAAGAGGTGTATCGACGGAGGATGGATCATTAGAATCTGAATGCCATGAGATATGTCAAACTGAAGTTCCACAAGTGAAACATACTCCGCAAATCTGTAGGGACACTGTTTCTCCTCCTCCCTCAACTTCAAGTTCCTCATCTTTTGTGGGGAAGGCTGAGACTTTGGAATCTCTGATTAGAGCTGATGCTAGTAAAGTGAACAGCTTTAGGATCCTGGAAGAGGAGGGCGTGCGAATACCAACCAACACGAGGGTCAAGGCTTCAAATTTACTGATGCAACTAATCTCATGTGGCTCAATATCAGTGAAAAACCATAGTTTTGGCCTTATTCCTTCCTACAAGCCAAGGTTTTCCAATTCAAAATTTCCTTCCCCACTGTTCTCAACTTCTTTCATGCTGGGGGAGTTTGATTGCTTAGCTGAGAATCCAAAGTTGATGAGCCTCAGATTGGAAGACAAAGAATACTTTAGTGGAAGCTTAGTGGAGACTAAACTGAAGGATGGAGATGGACATAATGTTCTGAAACGCTCTTCTTCCTACAATGATGAGAGGTAAGTTTTGATTTCAAAATTTCCGTTGCAACATTACGAATTTGCATGGGGAAGAGTTGCAGTTGCTGCTGTATACTTAAGTGTGTTGAAATGACTATTCACAACCTAATACTTATTCAAAGCTGAGGAAATAGTGTATGGGTTACTTAAGATCTGATCTCTGATGTAGTATTATAGTAGGACTAATAATTAGGACGTAGTCATTCTTCAGAATTTTTTTTAATCTATAGGAAAGATTATAACGACGGCAATGAGAATTTAAGTTTTCATGCACTATTCCAATCTCTCCAACCACTAGACCAACTCCAGTGGTTTGTCATTCTTTAGATTTTAAATATTGATTCATGTTAGATCAGGTTGAAAAGCCGGATAAGTTATTCAGTGGTCCACTGCTTGAATCTGGTCATTTTAGGCTAATTGAGTTCCTCTAAAATCTGAAATTCTCTTCCTCTTTGCGTTAAATTATATTTCGCACGTTAAATGCACGATTTTGTCTCAAATTTGAAAATATCACTTAATATTCTTTTTCTTGCTTTTAAAAAAATAATCACTTGAGCATCTTCTATGCCTCTTATCACTTCATTTATTCAATAAAATGGTTACAAAATCTATATGTTAGTAAGTCATTTTTCAATCAGTTATTGAAGCTAGCAGAATTTCACGGAATACAAGTACTTTCACATGCTTGTTTATATCTCTATAATCTATTTGTGATTGCATTAAATGTCTCATGGAAATGGAGGCTTCAGAGGTCCAAACAAAGGCCTTAATTGCTGCTTGTGAGGCTAGTACTTAATATAAAGATAGGAATCATTGAAATTGTTAAACATCTACTGTAAAAAGTTTGTACTGAGAATCTTCAAAATAACAAAGAGTATTTGTTATCGTGAACTTCTTTACTATTTGTTCTCATTCTTTGCCACTAAATGAGCTCGACTTGGGATCAAGAACTATAGTGATCAGCTTCTTCGATTCATGTTTTAGAGTTTTTTAATTGGTTTTTGATAGGCATGTGATAGGGACATGTTCGTTGTCATGTCACATCCTGGCCGTTGTTTCATCTGTAACAAAATCAACATACAAATATGCAGGACATATAAAGACCAAAAACCGGAAGAATACAAAGAGGAATCATCCTCAGGACATTCAAAATGCATTCCACGGTCAATCAAGGTCTCGTTGACCAAGCAGCCCCGAAGTGAATCCATGAGATCTCCTGTTTCTGATGGACCAAGGAACTCCTCAGACAGAATTGAAGGCTCAGCCATATCCTCAGTAACATCCAATGGTAGCAGCAAGAGAATCACGGAACCTTCGTCAGGGAAGAAGCAATCAAAGAGGATAGATTCATTTAAAGAAGAGGAGGAGGTGATCAAAATTGAAGAAAGTTAAGTGTTGACTCTATCTTGTTTCTCAAGTCTCTTAAAATTATAATTATATTCTTACACCTTTCAAAAAACATAGACTGAAAAATATTTTTTCCTCAGCAGGCTTGCTTCAGGAGCTCGGGTTATAATCCAATCTAAACCATTTTCAGACACAGCATCTAGCAGCTGCTGAAAAATCAAGTTTCAGATTTTAGGCAACAGAAAAACTACTGGTTTTTCAGCTTTAGATTGAATTCAACATGATTGTATATATTTGGTAGGTCCATGTGACATTATTTCCTTAAGCTTACAAAGTAAAGTTATTTTGACAATTGAGTCAATGCTAAGGGAGCAGCTAGCCAGCTACAATAGCAGGTGTGGTCCCGTTGGTCCATTTCCTTAAATATATTGTGCTGGAATGAGGTGATTGCACATCCTGCTGTAACTCCTGATACAATATCTACCTTTGCACCCTTTTGCTTGCTTCAAATTATTGGTTACTACTTAGCTTGCACCTTCAAGGGCAAAAGGTGTGGAAAAAATTAAGTGCGGGTCGTTTTCAAACCCATCTCTTGACATTGGAGCTGATGTCAATTGTCAAGCATGTGACCTTGACTTTGACATTGGATGCGTTATACTTAACATCAAAATGTAACATATCCTGTATGACCATATTTAATTCTCAAAGCTGATAAAGGTTGGTAAAAGGCTAATTTTATGTACCCTTTTAAAAGCGGTGCTTCTAGTCAAGATTTTTAAAAGCTGGGGTTTTCTTGGAACCCAAAATGTCTACGTAGACAAATTGACATTTTAATGCTTATGGCCATATTAACTTGCAGTGGTGCTAAAGGTGGTGATTGGAGTGGCTAGTCTGTAGAGCACTTTCACGTTTGGAGTAGAGAGCATGATTATGTATTGTTGGTTCTATATTGGTACTACACTATTTATTGAACTTATAAAAAGCATCAACGGAAACGACAATAAGAGTCTTAATGTTAGACAAATTTGTTCCAAAAATGTATAAGCCTATTTGAATAGATTCACGTGTAAGACTACTTTATTCTAAGGATTGAAAAGGTGGGTTTTCTATAATTCTCTTCTATGGGTCCCTTTAGCTTCAAACTTGAGGGAGAGAATAATAAAGGTGATGACTAAAAACTTTTTGTCTGGAAAGGTAAATCAGGGTTAGTCCTTTCATGCTTTTGTCTGGCTATTGAGATCTTGACTCGGATAATCATTAGTTGGGCAATTAACAAATCTTGGGTTCTACTCAAGGCAAGAGACAAGTAGGACACTATGCCTATTGAGTAGTGTTTGTTTTGCAATCTTTACTTTTCCTTTTCCTTTTCCTTCTTTTTCTCTAGCTATAATATTCTCTGGGTGTTTTTGGAATTTTCCTTCTAGTGGTGTTGGTATGTAGCAATGAATTTATATGGGAAATTATGATATTAATGAAACTTTCAATATTTAGTTTGGGGTTTTATTCTTTTGGTTGGAGTCCATAGAAATAATTTATTGTATTGCTACTCAATTTAAGTGTAATATATAAAAGCTTTGACATGCATCATAATCGGTGACATCTCAACTGCTTACTCTTAATTTTACATTGTTATACATGTGTTGGAAACCTTTGGCACATAAACATAAAACTGCATATTTTTCCTCTTAATTTCCTTTTTAAATGGAGGTAATATTACTCGAGTTAGGAAAATCCAAAGCATGATGGGACTAGTCTTATCACACTTTGTTTAAGGAAAGTCAAACATCTACTATTTAAATCAACAACCCTTTTTAACGATTAAAATAGTTTCATTTTCTTTTAAGAGACTCCCATTTCTCCACAAATTAGTCCATATTGTCGTGGACCAATAGTCTAACTTATATATATATAATATTATTCCTCCTATATAGTTGTTTTCTGTTGTGCTATTTAAAATTTGAACATATTCTTACACATGAAAGAAATTATTGATGACTAAAACCAATAAATATAGTTTATTTGTAGATTGGATAATCTTTAAATATTCTTTAAAATGACATTCATCTAAGTTATTTTCTACCTAATTCAACGTTACTTGTCTTGTTTTTATTTTATTTATCTATTTATTTATTTTACAATACGTTACTTGTGTTGTTAGTGCATCAAAATAGTGTGCAAGATTTCAGGTAAAATTAACAATAATAAGATTTCAAATTAAAATGATATTATATCTATGCATTATTTTTACTTTGCAATACCTTTAATAACATTTAAATTTTTTTTTTGTTTTAAAGAAAATTAAGATACCTGGCTTACCTACGCATCTACTGTCTATATTTAGTATGTTTATCTAAAATGATTCTCTCATACCCTTCTATGGAGTGTGAGTCGGATGTGGTGTAGAGAGAGATGTGATATTGGGGGTACACTTGATATTTCATACTTTCTTTCTCTTCCATCTCTTTATCACTTTATTTTTATATTTCTTTTGTTCACAATGACTAGGCTATTCTAGGATCGCATCTTGGGCTTGTGATGTTTGGTTTTACTTACTATATTCGTCTGCTTTAGTTACTCGGTCCAGCTGTTTATGGTGTTTATATTTTAGTGATGCTTTTTTTTTTGGGCCAGAGGGGGTGTGCTTTCATTTGTTTCTTTTGATCATATAACATAGAAGCAGTCCATATTATTCTTACATCTCAATTCTCTATTTTTACACCCTACTTTTTTATTTGTTTAAAATACCTTTGACATAAACAATTAAACATGGTAGAAGCCAGGCCAGAAAAGGCCCAAAAACCTAAAAAGATCCTCATTACTAAGTTCCAAGCAAGATGCACAGATCCTTTTCACCCATTTCCACCCTCTGATTATAATAAAGCCTTTGGACCTTGTCTTCGAGATATTGCAATACAATTTTCTTTCAACACCCCCTCTCCCCCCGGCCTTTTGGCCATAATAAATAATAAATAATAAAAAATTACTGAAATAAATTAATTAAAAAATATTTTATTAAAATAAATTATTTTAGATACGTAAAATTATAGAGAGTGGAGAAAACGTCACACTATATGACGCGCGTTCAATACATGGATACAAACAACTTGAAAACATCAAATTATTTGACGTTCTGTGCATAAATTTTTAAAATTCAAAACATCATGCTGGTTGACATTTTCTTTATAATTTTGCATTATCACTAGCAGATAAAAAAGGACAATGCGCGGGTAAAAAAGGACAAGCTTTCAACCTTCTTCCACTAGCAGCACAAGAATTCGACCAGCTAGAAATAGAGAAACTGAGAAACTCCACTCAGCAAGAGCTGTTTTCCATTCTAGAGAATAAATAAGGCTTAGTGAAGACTGAAGAGACCCTTATGCAACACAATCTTCATCTCACCATTTCAGTCACCCTAGACGAGCGTGATGTAGCAGGTATTCCTTGTATCTGTCTTGTGTTGTATGAGTTGCAACTTAAGCACTTATGAGCCACAATATGGAAATGTACATTAGAGTTTACTCCACAATCATTGCAAAGTATCCACACCTGCTTATGGTTTCACACAAATATTCAGTTAGATAAGTCTCACAAGCCACCCTTAATATATTTGCTCTAAAACTTTAGGGTTGGAGTTGTTACTTACCATCTTGTTTTTGTAAGTTTCAGGCATTGGAGTTGAGGCAATCTGATAAAATTTCATTCAAGAATGTCATTATTATATCAAAAATGAATATATGGATGCAAGTATGCCACCATATGCTCTTTAAAAAGTGAGTCAGTTTGGATAAAACTTAAAAGAACCTTTAAGAATTTTTCTACTAATATTAAAAAGTTTTTCTAGTAGAGAAGATTCAAAAGTTTTTCTAAATATATATCTAAATAAACTCTATATATGAAGAGAGAGAAAAAATGGTATCTACATACCACTTCGTCAAGCTTCTTCCACATACTTGTCATGTCACAAATGGATTTTGAGCAAACAGGACACGAGTACCTGTATGATGTATCCATTTCCAAAGAATGAATTAATAACAGTGGTTGAATTTGAAGATTGTCTCAAGGCAAAACAATAGCAGCTCATGGCAGCATAATAAATTAAGAATATTGAATGATGAGATCCATAATGGTGTAACAGAATAACACCATTTAAGTCCTTCATTAGTGCTATGAAGATAGATATAAATGTCTTACCTATGATGTTTTTCCATCTCTTTCACACAATCTAAATGTATAGTATGGCCGCAAGGTAGGACAGTGATATCTCTTACTGTATCAAATAGATACTGTAAAGGAAAAAAATGAAATCATCATCTAAATAAGAATCAGACAAATTTCTTTCTAAAATTTTACACTGTCATAGTACTAGAAGTTTTTATTACCTCAAAGCAAACAGGGCAATTGTGATGCATTGCTCCTTCTACACAACGATGTCCCTTTTCCATCACCTTTGAGTAGCAACATCCTAAAAAATTGGTAGGAATATAGTAATCAGCTGATGGAGAAAAAGTATGAGAAAAAAATAAACATTCATTTGGGACAATATACTCACTACATCTCTTGCAATGGAAAAAGTTATCCTTGCCTCCAGTTCTGTAAAAAACAATTACTTAGATCAGACGATTAATCAAATTCTGTCTAGTGATACACAACATGAAACATTGCGGCTAGCAAACTGATTAAAAAACTTTACCTGCAGATGCCACATTCGTCACAGTGGTATTGATTCTTTGAAATCTGAAAGATTGAACAATTTTTTAGTACAATATGCACAACTAGTTACACTAAAGAAAAGAACAAAACATGACTCAAATTCTATCACACTGAAGAACTTACATCATCATCAAAGAATTTGCATATAGCACAAAAGTACTTGCCCATGCATACTCCACAGTTTACACAGTACTGTTGAACCTGAGAGCATGAAAATCAATTAACAGATCAATAGCCAGTCATATTTATATGTACGTTTATTTATTGATTATTATAATTCAGATTTTTAGAACTCACCTCTTGTTCTGTATCACATAAGGAGCAGATAACCTGAAAATCAACAAAATAGGGTGGAATGAGTCAACATTCAACGATACCAAACATAGTTTAACACAGTAATATATGATAAGAACTACAAAATTATTAGGACCCTTCCTCGAGTGTGTTCTTTAGCAGTAACAGTAACTTATCTTTTCCAGAATATTATTACACAAATCATATAAATGATGAATCACTCAAAGGCACAGAATATAGTTGACCAAAAGAATCACACAACAGAATAACACCCAATTCAAATTCAATAAGTGAGTAGTAATAATTTAATAAAGAGTAAACAAATGCAAACCTTCTTAATTTCATGGCGTGGAATATCATGACGATCCACAGCATCAAGCTCCTCGGAATTCTGCTCAAATCAAAACAAATGGACATGAAACATGAATGTATGAGTTTTCTGCTAACACAACTCAACTCAACTCAACCCTAAAACAGTGAAACATTCTCAAGAACATAAATTTATACCTTAGCTTCGTTGTGGCAATGCCTACAATCAAAAACCTCATCACAACACGGTGCCCTGATCTTGCATCTCCTCCTGTAATGCGCGCAGCTGACTCAAAACAACATAGCAAAAACAAGATAAGATTTTTCTCTCTTTTTTCATAAACCCCAAAAGGGAAACAATGCAAAATCAAAACCCAACAAAATCCTCAAACACAATAGACAACAAAAAAAAGTTATATTTTTTGAAGTACCCAAAATTCTGAATCCCAAGTTCCATAGCAGAAAGATGTGTGGGGCTGGATTCAGAGAAGTCTGATAGAACAAGACAATGAGATGAAACAACCTCTGCCGCAGTTTCCATGATGTTGTGTGCCAGTGCCACTGTTAACAAAATCCACAAGCTGTTACTTGAAGTCGCAGATGTAACATTTGCAGTTGCATTTAAATATTATTATTTATGGCACACCGTTTCGCTTATCTGTCTCCCTAATCACACAAGCTGACTCGGCTACACGCAAGAACTTGCATCATCATAATATAAACACTTTCTAATTTCTAATTATAGACTAAAAGTGGCGACACAAGTGAAAAATAAAAAAGTTTCCGTGCAATAGAAAGAAATAAAAAATTAATACTGTGTAAGATTTTTATGGAAATTTCCGTGCAAATAATATTATCTCTAGAATGATTGTTGTCACGCACAAAAGTTATCTCTAGTTTGATTGAAAAGTACGAATAGTATATCTTTAGTATGATTGTCACACACTTACAAAATATCTATAGTATGATTGAAAAATATCTATGCTACAGACATAAATCGATAATGGATTCTATTGTATCCTCTAAAACTACAAAACACGAGACATTTTGCAAAAGTTTTCAAATAATATGCGACGTTAACCTTTTTTTCTCCTATCTTTTTTATTTTTTTATTATATATATATATAATATTTTATTTTTCTTTATCGTTCGAGAGAATTCTCAAATTTTGGATTTTATTTTTACTATAGTAACATGTTTGCACGATGGATGAAAGACGTTTGTTTTTGTCTCGAATAAAAACAAGTAGTGATATATATACATGTATAGCATCACTTTTTGTATTTATTTTTTTAATAATTTTATTTATTATAAAATATTTATTAATAATATATATATATATATATATATATATATTAATTTGTCGTACAATTTTGTCATAGATATACTAGTACTAACAAAACTAGAGTTTGGATATTCTCTTCCTTCATTCGAAAGAATTTGGTCTGCAGATAAACTTTCATTCATAGGTTATATTTCTTCTTAGTTTTTTTTTCCTTTCAATTTTCAAATAATGTAGTTCTCCTTTAATCAAAATAAAAAATAAAAAATAATGTAGTTCTTATTTTTTTTTTCTGGAACCAAAAATTAAAATGCTTGCTGAATAAAAGAACACTGCGATAGAAATTTTGAGATGACAACGATGAAGTGGGAGAAGAAGATGGCTTGAGAGTTTAATTTTAATTAAACAATAAATCACAATAATAAATGATTTAATAAAATTAACAATAAATTATAAAATTTATGGTGTTAGATAAATAATGACATAAACTTTTTATATGACCAAAACAATTGAATCATATTATTAAATAATATAATTTATTATTTTTTTTATAAATTAAACTTATTCAACAATTTATAGATTAGAATTTAAAATTTTGCGAATGTAAACCCACGACAACGTTTAAATCTATAAAATTATAAAGTATTATTATATAATTTTTAAGTTTTGTAAATATATATCAGATCTATATTTTTTTAGAACAAATATTATATTTATTAATTAAGAACTTTTGAATCCGGTGGTTATATTGTTAAAAAATTAAATATAAACTATGTATTATTAGAATGAAATAATTCTATCGGTAATTATTTTTAGAATAAATGGACTTTTTTTTTTTTTTTTACATATATACACATATTATCTGTTTTTTTTTTCATTTAAATGGTATGCACCAAATAAAAAAAAATGACATATATTTTGTTTTTATTTTTCTCTTCACACAATTTTCATATGGACTCTATCGAAACTTGCATCTCCATATCGATAATGTTGAAAATGTAACATTGTAATAATATGCTAACGGATGCGTAAAAGATAATTGTTACAAATAAATTTTCCTAATAAACATATAGTATTTATAATAAAATATTATAATAAATGTTTTATTTATTTGAATTCTTTATAAATTGATTTTTTTAGTATTGTCCTCGTAATAATAAATTTAATAGTTTATTGATAAATGTATTATTGGATAAAAGATGATGATATGATCCATCCACTAACACTAAACGTGGCACATAAAGAGTGGTTTCATCTGTTACTTCTGTACCCAGTACTTCCATGGGGTCCTACATCACCATAAAAAAAAAATATTATATATATTTTTTATATAATCAAGATTTATAATTTTTTTATCAAGTCACTTCATTTAAAAATAAAAATTAAATGTACCACTTCAAATTGAATTTTATTTTTTAATTACAAAATATAAATATTGAATCATTTGTGTCAAAACTTTTAATTTGGGAATTTGGAAACTTTTAATTTGAATGATTGAATATCAAGGCTAATAAGCATAGATTCATGCACCCTCTTGAAGTCAAAAATGGGTAAACATCTTGGTATAAAATACACCAACACAAAGATAAGAACGAAGAGGAATATGGTGAAGAAAGTGATGAGATTTGTGGATAAGGTGCATAAAAACCAACAAAAGAGGAAGGAATAAGAACAACAGGACCCGTCAAAAAAATGATGATGATGATAATGATAGAAAAAAGGAAAATGAATCTGTGAATGTTTCTTTTTGGTCCATTATGAATTTGTAAGTTGGTTCATCATACATACACTTCCTTTTGTTTATAAGTACACCTCCTTTTTTAAAAAAAATAATTAAAATTTTAAAATATTTTAATCTTTTTGTTTTTAATTTTTAATTTAGTATTTTTTTTTCACACATCTTCCTTCCTTTTTTCAATTTTTACATGCATTCCCTTATCTTTTTTTCATCACACCTATTTTGATAGCATGTGAAAATTAAAAAAAAAAAAATGTGTGAAAAAAAAAAGAAGAAAGTAACAAATTAAAAGTTGGAAGTTTAAAATTAGAAATTTAAAAAAAAAACTACAATATTTTATAAATTTAAAAAAAAAAATAAAGAAGGTGTACTTTAAAAAAAAAAAAAAGGTGTATATATATTAGCCTTGTAAGTTTTGTACACGCCCAACACTCTATCTCTTAACAAAAAAGCCCAATTATATAAGTCCAGTTAAACCGCTGCATTAACACAAGAAGTACTGGGGCAGCCCAATGAACCCACATTTAGGATGAAATATTATGCAATGATGACTCAATTTAGTGAGAAAAGTTTATAAACAATACACTTATTTTTCCTTTAAATAAATATTTGTTGGCGCTCAAATGCTATTCAATACATGAGAGAAAAAGATATATAAAACACAAAAATAATAATATAATACGTGAGATAAAAAAAAAATGTCCAATGAGCTTTTATACTGATTAGACATTTATACATTATTGTTATTTTAATCTTTTATCTTATTTCTATCTCATTTTTCTCCCCTCTCTCTTTTTTCATAACATTAATTATCATATTTATTATTTTCTCTTATTAATTATCACATTTATTACTTTCTTTC